TGAAAAAAGTTTTCTACACTTAAATTTCATTAAGTAAGAATTTTTGATGTAGATCACTAAATTGCGTAAAATTGGTCTTAATAATTGCACTTCAAATTTTTACTGAATATTAGCTAGGTTTTAGGATTTAAAACAAATACAAAACCATATTTCTAGCATTTGTGGTTGGTAAGTTATAAGCTATTAAAGGCAAGTAACTCTACTTGCGTTTCTTTTATAAACCACTGTAAATAAATGTTTTAAATATAAATTTAAATATATTTTGTAAAGTTTTTTTAATAATTATATAAACAAATAAAAATTAAAAATTTTAGCTTTTATAAAGAAAATATATTTATTAAAATATTTTTAATATTTTTTTTTCACTTGAAAACAAACGATTTTAAAATGAATGCTAATCAAGAAAGCAAATTGGTTTTCTTAGGATTACAAGTATTAATTTATTATGATTTTACTATATGATTTTTTTTGTGAAACCTAGGATGACCTCTTGGAATCATTCGAATACTTTTGTCCTAAAAAGCACTCTTTTCTACTACTGGTTGTGTTGGTTTTTCGAGTGGATTATGTTTGTGTGTTTATTAGATATTAGTTTGTAGTGGTCTGGAGAGGGTAGTAGTTCAAATGCTTTTTGTTCTAGACTTTCGTATTCTTTTATCATGGAGGTATCGACCGCGAATGCTTCTCTGGTTAGTGATCTTATTTTTACATTATTCCAGTTGTTGCATCTGCTTAGTGCTATATATGCTTATTCTTTTTCAAATATCTGTGAGTCTAGGTTTAGTGATACGTTAGATAAAGTTAGTCCTTGGGTTTTGTAAACCGTGATGGTGAATGTGTTAATTAATTATTATGAATGATGAGATATGCTTTTTTATTGCAATGTCTACTATTACGTCTTGGACACAGAATGCATATCTTATTTCTTGTGATTCCATATTTATGTTGATGATTATTCCGATTGTTCCATTTGATATTTTATGTTTGTATTCAGAATTGTTTAGGAACATGATTCTGGTATCTACTTATAGTCATACAGTTTTTGGTAGGTTTGTTTATTGTTCTCGAGATGGCTATTATCATTTATCTTTCCATTTATGATATCAATAGCGTTTGAGATGATATATTTGTTTTCGTTTGTTAGTAGTGTATCACATATGATTTGGTTGATTTGTTTCACTATTTCTTTGTATCCAACTATGTGTGTTGTATTTAGGGATTTTTTTAGGTTGTCGGCTGGTGAATTTATTGTTTGATTTAGTGTGATTTATAGGGTATTCCAGATGAAATGGTCTATTTTTCCTAGTCTAATGTTTTGAAGTAATTTGTAATAAGTTGGGTCCTGGTTTTGTCTTTATGGTTCGCGTAAGAATAGGTTATGCGAGATCTCTGATTACTATTATATTGATTCCTCCGAATGGTTCAGGATTATGATTTATGTATGAGAATGTTTAGGAGATGTATGTGAATAGGTTGGATGAGACCATGGATATTTTGTCGATTATTATCATGTTTACGTTTTTAAGTTTTTGGTAAAGTGATGGGTCTGAGAATGATAGGGTTTAGTATGATGATCCGTTTGAGTGAATTCTTAGTGATGAGTGTATGGTATGGCCTCTTATGTTTTGGGCTGCTACTCCTGTTAGGGCAATTAGAAGATATTTTTTGTTTTGAGTGGTTAATTTATTGATTATAAGGTTTATGATGTAGGATTTTCCTGTTTCTGCTAATCCGGTAATGAAGAAGTACAGGTAGTATCGGTTGTCTCTTGGGCCTTTATAATTTTTTATGGTTTGCATGCAGTAGTATTAGGAGGTGGGAAGTTGGATCATAGTGTTGGTTGGGAGGATTGGTGGAAGTATTTTAATCGATTCTATCTGAGAGTGAATTATCTCTTGGATATTTTGTGATAGTATTTGTTGTAATAGAGAGAGTAGTTCTTCGATTAGTGAGTTGAATTGTTCTATTATGTTAATAGTTTGTAAATGTTAGGATCTTTGATTTTGTTCTATGGTTTCAGAGAATCTTTCAGAAAATCTTGCCATAAAGTGGTCTCTATAGGTGGTGTAGTGTTCTTTTAGGTCATTCTCTAAACGAGATGGTATTAGGAGAAGAAGTTATTGATAGAAGTATAATTCGTTATGTTTTATGGTTAAGTGATGGATTTGTGTGAGTATAGGTGTATTTCTTTTGATAATGCAATTGCCTAAGTTATCAAGATAAGTATTTCTTCTTGTTGGGTTATTGGGCGTGTTTTGTATATTATATTTTTCATGGTATTTCTTGTAGGTAATGTTATTAAATATTTCATTACTAGGTCTAAGGAAATATTTTTCAATATGATCTTTCTAGTAGGGATCTTTGTCATCGGGATCTATTAGAAATAAGGGTAAGATGGTTTTGGAGCATATTGAGAGAGGTTTAGTAATAAGGTATATTACTTGAGTAGAGGAGTTACATATTTTTTCATCAAGTAGTAAGAACATTAATTCCATAGAGTCTAATCTTCTTGTATAGATGTACTCACAGTATAAGTTGCTTTCACAGATGTTAAATAGGTATGATGGTTCAGCTTTTGCAATATATTTAGTAATGTATTATGCTAAATCTTTGTCTGTTATGTATTGAATGTTCATATGTGCCTTCCATATAAGTAAAGTGAGTGCATAGTAGTGTACAACCCATCTATCTTGCTAGTTTATACAATGGTATGTATAGCGGAAGGATTCATTATCGTAGTATGTACGTGAGGCATATGGCCTTGAAAAACCTTTTTTACATCTTTCTCCAGAAGGTGCTAGTTCATTACATTTTGCATTACAGATATGGATTTGATAGTTTATTACTAGTTGATATGGTTCGGTTTTGAGATTAGGGTTGGAAATGTCTGATCTAATGATATTTTCATTTATCATTTCTTCTATTGATTTGCTAGTCCAGTAAACTCTGTGAGTATGAGCTGCTCCCTATTCTGAAATTTGACTCTTTCAAAGAAGTGGTTATAGTCTTGCCATTCGCTTATTTTAGGATCTTTCTAGATTAGGTTTTTGAGAGTTTGTAGTCTGTGGATAAAATGTAGTGTGATATATAGGAGGCAGTTTGTTAGGATTGTGTCATGGTTATCAGTTTTGTTTAATATATCGTGAAGGTTAGTCCATGATCCTTCAGCCATTGTTAGGGTAATGAATAATGTGAGCAGTTGTAGTCTTATTATTATGCTATTTAGGTGTATTGTCTTTCTATAAAAGTATGTATTACCAGTTCTAATAAAAGTAGATAATAGGGTAGTTTTATTTTCATTGTATGTATATTTTCTGGTATATGAACTTCTTTCAATTATATCAATGGTAGTAGGAGGTCGGTGAATAATATTAGCATTTTGTTGATATAAAAGACGTTAATTATTTTGATAGTTTCGTAATTTTTCTAATTATAGATATGACCATGCTGGCCAATAATAGTGTAATCTAAATCGATAGTTTATATTGAGTAACCTATGTTTGTATATTTACCATAGGTGTCCATTCTTAGTTGTTGATTAGTTAGATTAGCAATCATTTCTTGATAATGACCATGGCTATTAGGGATTAGGTCAGGAAATAGCATGGCCTCAAGATTTGGATTATCAATTGATATTGGCATGGAATCTATTTTATCATTTCGATGAAATCCTGCTATTAATCTTGAGTAGTGTGCATCTTCATTATAGATTTCATCTGGAAAATTCAGGTGAGGAATAATTATATCACCAGTTTGAAGGAGTGGAGCTTCGTTATCTTCGGAAATATGGGTTGCAGTTGGAAAAGTTAGAATGTTATCTAGGTTTGAAAATAGTCTTGAATAGTTTGAGATGTAAGGGTTATTGTTACGTAGCCAGCTAATAGCATTTGAAAGCGAAATATTGAACCAGTTGTAGTTCTGGTCATTAAGGTTTGATCTATAATTTTCTAGAAAAGCACCTAATATTCCAGAATATAATACTAACGATTTATAATTTTTTGAGTATCCCATAATGCTGACGAAGGATCGATATATTGTAAAGTTGTTTATACCAGAAGTTCTTTCTAATGATGAATGTAGGAATATGGGAAAGAGGTATTTCTTTCTATAAGGGTATGAATTCAATCTCCGGGAGTGTGGAATGTAAGTAAGGAGAATAGTTTTTAGATGGATTTTTATGGCAAGCGTCACAAATTGGTATTCTATTATTAGGAGGATTTGGATTGAAGGTAAAAGAGAGATTTGGATAATTTCTGATTATTGGATAAGTAAAATTATCATTTTTATTAATCTATTTTGATTTTTCTGAATACATCATTCGTCCATAGTATGAACATGATAAGTACAGATATTGAGCAAGAATGTAGTGTTCAAATTTATCTTTTAATATTTTAAATTTTTCAGATGAAGTCTAAGAAGAAAATATGTGAGGTAATTAGATTATTTGTAAATGTGAGTTATTCAATTGATTTTCTGTATGATTAAGTGATACATTAATAATAGTTTCATTTTCTTGTAGTTGTTCTATTTCTAGAATTTGAAATATATGGGATGACATTTTTTTTGAGAAATTTAAAAGAATTTTGATAATTATCGTAAAAGAACAGATTTTATTTATTAGAAAAAAAATTTATTTATTTTTATTTTCTTTGTGAGTATAATCATAGTTAAAGTTTGTAACTTTTTTAATATAATAAAATAAATCATAAACAATAGGATATTAGTAATTGGATTTGATATTTAGAATTTTTTATTTATTTAATTTGAAAGATAAAAATAAAAAAGTAAAATAAAGCGAAAATTCTGCTTTTATAAAATCTTTTTTTAGCAAAAAAAGTAAGTAAAATAGTTATTTACATTTTTTTTTCTTTTTATATATATATTTAATATGTTGAAAATTGGATTACAAGTTTTAAAATAGTTAAAAAAATAAATTTAGAAACTTTTATTATATAAAATAGAAAAATAACTAAGAGAAAATAAAAAAGTTAAAGAAAATATTATTCATCCTTTTTTTCTGGTAAAGTTGGTTGAATTTTTTCTTGAGTATTAATATCTGAAGTCAGAGGAGATAAAGCCAAAGAAGCAAGTTTCGGAATTTTGTGAATTCCTATTAAAGATGGTTTCTTACGTTTTTCCTTTTATTTGGATTTTATTGCATTTGATAAAATAGATTTAGCTATGTTAGTAGCTGATGAAGAAGGTTCATTTATCTGCTTTTTTCCTAAGCATAATTAGAAGGTTTATATGATAGTGAGGAGGATGATTCTATAAAATTAATTTGTGTAATTTTGACAAGTAAAATGTCTTTAATAAATGATAAATGACTAGTGATATATAAAGAAAAACTGCGCGAGGCTTTTGTAGAAATTGAAAGTAAGTGAGTTTTTTCTGGAAAGTGGTATAAATTAAACAAAAGAGAGCTATTAAGCTGATCATTGAGATATTCTTTAGTAGTGATATTTAAGGTAATTTTGTCATCGCTAACTTCTGGATTATCCGGTAATATACCAACTAACGTAACAGACAATGGAGATTTCAGAAGATTTTCTTCATTAAGATCGAGTATAAATATGTTGGATGCTATGACCTATTTTATTTATTATTAATAATAAATTAATTAATAATAAATTAAACGCATTTTATTTTTTATTTTTTATTTTTTTACCTTAATAAGTTTAACCTTACTATCATCAACATCTATTTCAGTTTCTATAAGAAATCGAAATAAGGAAATGATACATTTTTTTTAAGGTTTGTATACATAATTAATGATTCTATATCAAAATTCCGTATGTTTTATAATGATTTATTTTTTTA